CCGGTTTGGTTCCTGCTGCCACTGGAGCCCAGCAAAGGGTCGGGGTGCAGCCGACCCACAAGCCCTCGTGCACAGAGTGACACCGCGCCCCACGTTCACCACAGCGCGAGGAGCACGAGGCCCCTGGTACCAGCCGACTCGGGCCATGGGTCTGGTTTGCTGGCACGGATCGTAGCTGTGCGGGGCTCTGCATTTCCTGCCAGGCAGTGCACGTGGCTCAGCCACTAGGCCCAGGCCAGTCGGGGTGCAGCCGACCCACAAGCCCTCGTGCACAGAGTGACACCGCGCCCCACGTTCACCACAGCGCGAGGAGCACGAGGCCCCTGGTACCAGCCGACTCGGGCCATGGGTCTGGTTTGCTGGCACGGATCGTAGCTGTGCGGGGCTCTGCATTTCCTGCCAGGCAGTGCACGTGGCTCAGCCACTAGGCCCAGGCCACGAGTAAGGGCTGCTCTGACCCGGCAGGGCACCGGGCCACGCCCTGGGCTGGGACTCAGCGTGGGACCTAGGGAGAGAGGGTGGCCACGCGTAGGCTTGTGCTTCGTGGGCGCTGAGCCCCGGCCCACACGCGAAGGCCGACGTTTGGCGGGGGGGAGCGCTGCTTTGCCCACGCCGCGGAACCCCCTCACCGGCGTGGGAACGCCCGAAGCGCTGACAAGGAGCCTTGGCGCGCGCTGGCTGTGAGCGACCGGGCGGGTGCAGGCTCAGAGCTGCGCAGCGTCACCCCCCGCTGAGGGCCGAGTATCCGAGGGGCAGCCATGTTAGTCTGGAGCTGCGAAAGCGACGAGGAGTCCTGGGGCACCTTCCAGACTCACAGATGTATCGGAGCATGAGCGTTCGTGGGCAAAGACCCACGAAATACACGTGAGTCTAGACGGTGCTACAGGACCCCTCGTCGCCCCTGCGCTACCGACGTCTGAACCCAGGCTTAGCCAGCTTGCCCTGCCCGACAAGCTCACTCGCTCCCCTCACCCGCCCTGCAGGCGCCACACCGCATGTGGGTGGGGGCAGAGCTGGGGGCTCCCGTGACTTTGCTCGTGCTGGTGCAGCAGAACCCAGCCCCGCTGGCTGCTCAGAGATGTCAACAGCCGGTGGCAGCGCCAGCGCTCGCCTGGGGAGGACAGGGTCGTGGGTTCAAGTGCCGCCTCCCCCGAGTCGGTGCTAGCAGGGCCTGGACAGGTGGGGCGAGGTACCAGCCGGGTAGCAGGAGAAGGGCCTGCCCAGCAGTTCCCACAGCTTCCAGACCACACCCCGGGGCAGACGCCCACCCCAGCGTAGCTCTCACCTAGCGCGTGGGCGTAGACCACGTCACTCAGCACCACCACGTGGCTCTGGGGGTCAGGGTAGAGCTCCCGGAAGGCCCCCGCGCAACGCTCCGTGTCCAGGGGCTGCTGGCCAAAGACGTGCAACAACGGCAGG